TCGGATCCCATGTAGGGATGACCGGTTCGCTCACTGGCTGAGCGTGGTGCTGACAACACCAGGTCAAGGGTTGGGATCCCCTTACCGGTCATCTTTTAAAAAATAAAAAAAATAAAAAAAAATAAAGTGCAAGGGTTGAGAAACACTGAAATAGACCACTGTCTAGGAAATGCAATTTTCTAACATTATCAGGAAATACTAAAGAAAAACTGTATTGCAAAGAGAGATTTGGAGATCCACAATAACATACTGAAGGTCTTATTTGTTCTAAGAGATATCCATTACAGGGCCAGCCCATGGCTCACTTGGGAGAGTGTTGTGCTGATAACACCAAGGTCCAGGGTTTGATCCCTGTACCAGCCAGCTGACAAGAATAAATAAATTTTTTAAAAGAAATTGTTTTCAGGGCCGAGCCCGTGGCGCACTCGGGAGAGTGCGGCGCTGGGAGCGCAGTAGCGCTCCCGCCACGGGTTCGGATCCTATATAGGGATGACCGGTGGGCTCACAGGGCTCACTGGCTGAGCGTGGTGCGGCTGGTCTCAAAAAGGACAAAAAGAAAAAAAAAAAAAGAAAAAGAAAAAGAAATTGTTTTCAAAGTAATTTTTACCTTTAGACAGTAGGAAATCAAATTCTTATGACTAATAAGTATTCAGTCTAACATCAATATGTTTTAAAATCAAGGGTTCACAAAATCTAAAACTTCACATATCACAATGTGTTCACCTTATAAGCTGCCCAGGAATTAATTCTAATCTGTGAAGCTTATTCCCATTAAATTATAACATGTGTTATAACACCAAGGACAAGAGCTTAGATTCCCAAACTAGCCAACTGCAAAAAAAAAATATATATATATATACATATATATATATANGCGCTGGGAGCGCAGTAGCGCTCCCGCCACGGGTTCGGATCCTATATAGGGATGACCGGTGGGCTCACAGGGCTCACTGGCTGAGCGTGGTGCGGCTGGTCTCAAAAAGGACAAAAAGANGGCCTTGGTGTTATCAGCACCGCACTCTCCCGAGTGAGCCACGGGCCGGCCCAGCATCTGTATGTTTTAAAAGCTCCCTGGGTGACCCTAAGGTGTAGCCTTAATTGAGAACCTGGTCTATATCTTTAAGGATAGCAACAGCAAAAATCTAGAAGTCACTTTGCTTTTACATGCTTTCCTTATTTAAAAAGTCAGTCATGAGGAAAAACAGCAGTAAACTAGCTCCATTTTAGAGATGAAGACACGGAGGTGCATAGAAATAACTTGCCCAGAGTTACCCAGCTGGTTAGTGGTGGAACCAGAAGCCAAGTTTGGTGGCCCTGGATCTCAGCTATACAACGTGTCCTCATCCTAGTGGGCCTGAGTGGGACTGAGTTGGGTCCTTTTAAGACTAGATAGAGCCAGATACTTTTTATAGAAGTATCTGTCTTCATTGTTCATTTCCATCCTTCTGTATTTGACCCAGTTGTCCTTCCCTAGAAACTTTTGCTCCTTTGCCTGCAGGTTCCTGGTCTTCCTAGCATCCCTTCTCTTTCCTTCACTTCAAAGTTGCTTTCCTGGGCCGGCCCGTGGCTCAGTCGAGAGAGTGTGGTGCTGATGACACCAAGGCCACGGGTTCGGATCCTATATAGGGATGGCCGGTTCGCTCACTGGCTGAGAGTGGTGTTGACAACGACACCAAGGCCACGGGTTCGGATCCTATATAGGGATGGCCGGTTCGCTCACTGGCTGAGCCTGGTGTTGACAACACCAAGCCAAGGGTTAAGATCCTCTTACCGGTCATCTTTTTGGGAAAAAAAAAAAAAAAAGCTGCTTTTCTCTCATCCTGAACTGTGCCTGCCTCCCAAAGTCTCACAGCTCTTGTCCCTTTTCCTGTCTCTCAGAGTGGTCCTTTTTCCTCAAGTGCCAGTCATCCACGTAATGCTGATGACTCTTAAATTTTATTTATTTAAAAATTTTTTTTTGATGATTCCTAAATTTATCCAACATGGACAAACTCTGTGTCATTGTATATTCAGCTGCCTACCAGACAGTTCTACTTCAAGTGTCCCAGAATCACCTCAGTACACGCTTAGCTCTTATCAGCACCTTCTGGTGATTTGTTGACCTGTATGCCTCACACAGTGGCTTATGAGCAACTCAGCTGCCTGAATTTTTTTCATCCTCTGGCTTTCCTCATCTGTCAGGCACATAGGAAGTATGCTGAGGAAATGTTTACAAATAGTAAATGAATATTGATTGCCGTCTTCCCCGTCCCTGTTAGTGTCAGGCACACACAGGCAGGATCCCTCGAGTCATCTTTGACATGTTTTTTAAAAATCCACCCCCACCTAATTACTAAAACCTGCTTTTCTGCCAAAAAGTACTGCATAGTTCAAGATCCATTTCCCATGAAAAAATGTCAAACATTGAACATATGATCATCAGGCAACTGTCTGGGATTAACAGGTGAATAAATTGTGGTCCCAGCCATCTAGAAGTTTAAAACCTGGTGGGAGAGACAAACACATACATAAATTAAAAAAATAATAATAATGGGCCGGCCCAGTGGCTCACTTGGGAGAGTGCGGTGCTGATAACACCAAGGCCACGGGTTCGGATCCCATATAGGGATGGAGGGTGCGGCTCTGGGAGCGCAGCGGCGCTGGGAGTGCAGCAGCGCTCCCGCTGCGGGTTCAGATCCTATATAGGGATGACCTGTGCGCTCACAACGCTCACTTCCCATGAAAAAATGTCAAACATTGAACATATGATCATCAGGCAACTGTCTGGGATTAACAGGTGAATAAATTGTGGTCCCAGCCATCTAGAAGTTTAAAACCTGGTGGGAGAGACAAACACATACATAAATTAAAAAAAAAATAATAATGGGCCGGCCCAGTGGCTCACTTGGGAGAGTGCGGTGCTGATAACACCAAGGCCACGGGTTCGGATCCCATATAGGGATGGCCGGTTAGCTCACTGGGTGAGCGTGGTGCTGACAACACCAAGTCAAGGGTTAAGATCCCCTTACCGGTCATCTTTTAAAAAAAAAAAAAAATAAAAATAATAATAATCATTATAAAAAGAGTAGCTAATGTTTATTTAGTATTTACTTTGTGCCTTGCACTCTTCTGAATGCCTTAAAAAATCCATTGACTTAATTCCCAACAACCC